CCCACAGCTCCTTGGGAGTGGAAAATACCAGTCTTTGCTGTAACACACAGCTTCTTTCATGCCCATATCATATAGATTTTTAATTTTCAAATGTGTTTATTTAACCAAACTTTTAGATAAACTATTCTCGACTTCAGTAGGGTCGGGATAGATAGGTTTATATAAGGATTTTTTTATATTGTTGCTACCAAATTATCGACATTTTCCAGTATACAGCAGTCCCTCTGTTAACGAGTGCCTCGGTTAACGAGATTTCGGTTAACGAGTTACTTTCCTTAACATTCTTAACTTTGGTTAACGAGCAATCCCTCGATTAACGAGTTTCTTACGAGCCGACCTCAACATGTTTTCACTTGCACTTGGCGGTCCACCAGCTGTAGCATTAGTCCGCCAATACAGTAATCGGTTCTTGGGCTTATATTCCTTACCATTTTAGTAAATATCAAGAAGTTTATACTATTCAATAATTTTAAAAGTTTAATATTACATTTTTAGTCATTTTAACAATTATTGAACATAATTGAAGGTAAGGAAACTAGTTTTATACTCGCCATCCAGCCTGTCAACACACCAAACAGGCGTCAGTCTTTGTGTCTTTTCAGTGGAGGTAACATCTTGCTTGAGACTCTCTTCAACTAAATGCTTTTTTTCTGTGTTTGCAAGCAAATTATTGGTCATTTTGAAATTTATTTTACATATTGACAATATATAATGCAGTGCAGTGTTGATTTAAAGAAAATAATCTTGAATTACACCAAGAGAACTAAAATTTTATGGGTGAAATGGCTCCATTGGGTGACTTCTCTTCCACTCCAATGCCTTCTCTTCTCCCTTCTCCTCCACCCCCATTCTAATTCCCATTATCATCATCATCATCATCATCATCATCATCATCATCATCATCATCCAGGAGCCTTCTACATACACACCTCAAAGTAAGTGTACTTTTCTACCTTTTTTGTGGAATTTAGGCAAATTTCGGTGAGCTGGAACCAATTACCCAAAAACCCATTGAAACAATGGTTTCGGTTAACGAGTTTTTCGGTTAACGAGCAACCTTCTAGAATGGATTGTGCTCGTTAACTGAGGGACCACTGTATAGAGATAATTTTTTGTTTTTGCAAGGGAAATCGGGCAGGAAATATTTGAAATTTATCACTAATACCAAAATTATCTACATTTTCCATTATATAGTGATAAATTTATTGACAGTAGACTCACAACTTACGTGGGGTTATGTTCCTGGGACCTCACATAAAGTCAGAAACTCTCCTAAAAATCCCCTAAATTGCCCCAAAAATACGGGTTGAAAAATTTTACAGTACAGTACTTAAATGTACCTGTACTCTAAAAGACTAAAAATTTTATCTCTTGTGCAATATTTATGATGTCTATATTCAAATTATTTGCTGTCTTGCAAGGATTCCAGCAATGCAATTTATATTCTGCTAACTTTAGACTGTGCAATTTTATGTCAAGTTTAGTCATTTTTATTGGCGATTTAGTATACAGTATAGTCTGCATTTACACGGTCAATTGAACCCGTGGAGGCCCGCGTAAAATGAGAAACGCTTAAATGAAATAACAGAACATATGGGATTAATTGAAATAGACTGGGCCGACCCCCAAACTCCACTTTTTCTGACACAATACGTACGTTGTAGTAAAAATAACATCTTAATTTTATGATGGTATGCACACACAATTAATAATTAAGAGAAATATCAATAATATTAGGTTTTTTAGCACTTACGTTAGTAGAAAAGCTGGGCCGGCACACATGGATGGCGGCTGGTTCCGAAGCAGAGGGCAGATTAGTTGCCCTCCGGTGAATCACTTTCACTGCTCGCAGTGGTTTGCAGGGCCTCCCAGACAAACCCCTCAAAGTCCATATCTTCACTGTCAATATCACTATCACTGACTTGGGCTGGCTGTGGTTGTGGTGGGTTGCGGGCGAGGAAGTCCTCAATACTACTTTGACGACTAGCTTAATTTTCTCCCCAACTCGATGATTTCCTTCACTTTATCATGGCTTGGTCCAGGTAATTCAATGTTTTTCTCTGGTGGTGGGGGTCCTGCGGAAGCCGTTGTGAGGGGAATAGCGGGCACAAGAGAGAACTGTATACGCGGACTGAGAACAATGAGACAGGCCCGGCTAGGTCAGCGACTTCTACCCTCTGGTGGCAGGGCACGTCATGTTACATTAGACCAATCACAGCTAGCAGCGGAGGGAGGTAAGGATACGTGGCCCAATCACAGTCCGTTACGTCATATGACGTCAGTGATAACGTAAGAGTGGCCTAATGCGCACCACTCACTGCGCCGCTTCCTTAGTATGGTCAAGAATGGACAGCATGGGTAAAAAATGGCGCAGCGGTCTGGACCTCTCCAGCCACTCTCCAGGTAAATGACCAAATTTACCGCGTAATTAAAGCATTTTCACTCTGGCAAGGCACCACGTAAATGACCAAACGCGTAAATGCAGACTATACTGTATAGCAAACATCCTTGGACTCTATCTCGTGATATATCCCGATTCTACTAAATTATAGTAAAGAAATGGAGTTTCTAACTTAATTACAACTGCATTTATGAACTCCGGTAGTTTAGACTCTCAAAGAAAACATCCTCAGCACCCAGAAACATTCTGGGGCTGTGGGCTAGTGTCTGTGTGTGCAAGATGTCTAGTTCAGACACTCGGAAACTCTTCCCAGTAACCGGAAAATATTCCGGGGGATAAGGAATTTTTTAGGGTTTGAGAAAGTCGTCTGGTTAGCCAGAAATCTCTCATCCCCAGAAATTATCTGTACCAATTGTTCCGGGTAATGGGGATATCACTGTACAGTGGTCCCGCGGTTAACGAACTCAATTCGTTCTACAGAGTTGTTCGTTAACCGAAACCATTGTTTCAATGGGATATTGGGTAATTGGTTCCAGCTTACAGAAAAGTATATACAAGTAAATAAAAAGCGAGATCAAACACCCTAAAATTTCCTAAATCGCCCTTAATTCATATATATATATATATATATATATATATATATATATATATATATATATATATATATATATATATATATATATATATATATATATATATATATATATATATATATATATATATATATATACATATATATATACATATACACCTAGACCCCGACTTACGACGGGGTTAGGGACCCAAATCCAGGTCGTAAGTCCGACATAGATAAAAAAAAAATTAATAAAAAATCTACAATGAAATACAGTACAGTAAAAGTAATGAATAATGATGAATGGATACAGTACAGTGAAAGTAATAAATAATAAGGAATGGATACAGTGTGACTGAGCACTTGAACCTTTAATGTAGTCAGCTGAATGCACATGGGGCCCCCATAATTTTCTAATTATACATGGAGACTACATTAACTGGAAACGTTTCGGTATAGAAAATGCGTGTCATTTAAATTTTTTTTTTTTAATCTATATCTGAGGCGGTCGTAAGTCCACGGTCGTAAGTCGGGTCTAGGGGTGTGTATATATATATATATATATATATATATATATATATATATATATATATATATATATATATATATATCTTGATAAAATCAAAATCACACGGGAAAATGGAAACAACGGAGCACCTTAGCTTTTGTCTTTATATGTGTGTGTGTGCGTGTGCGTGTGTGTGTGTGTGTTATATATTATATGTACACTAGAACTCTTAAAGCACTACTGTAATGTGATACAGGTGATTAATTTTATCTTTTGTGCAAAATATATGACTTTTATATTCAAATTATTCGCTGTCTTGCAAGGATTCCAGCAATGCAAATTATATTCTCCCAACTTTAGTCTGAGATATTATATAAAATATACACTTAAAAGCCAAACTGAAAACACCAAACCTTTGTCTGGGAAGGCGGGGGTAGGGAGGAAGGGAGGGGGGGGAGCAGGAGGTGAGGTGTATTTTGACAGTTAGTGCGTCTGGTGAAGTATTTAATTTGTTGAGTGTTTGTTTTTTGCTCATTAAAATTCCATATAAATGACCGGTTAGAGTATTATTTACATTGCTGGAATTCTTATAAGATAGTGATTAATTTGAATATAAACAAGCTAAAATTTGCATTAGACATTCAAATTTTAGATCTAATTTAAGAATTTTATTAGAGGGAGCAAAAATTTTATCTTTTGTGCAAAATATATGACGTTTATATTCAAATTATTGGCTGTCTTGCAAGGATTCCAGCAATGCAAATTATATTCTCCCAACTTTAGTCTGAGATATTATATAAGATTAAAGCCTATTGTGTAACCAGAAACCTTCGCTGGGAGGATGGGGGGGAGGGAGGGGTGAAAGTGACACGTTTGACAGTTAGCGCCAAGGTCTGGTGAAGTATTAATTTGTTTATTTATGTCCTTTACATTGAGTATTTGTTTTTTGCTCATATAATTTCATAGACGTGACCTGGGAGAATACATTGCTGGAATTCTTATAAGATAGTGATTAATTTGAGTGTAAACATGCCATATTTTGCACTAGACAAAAATTTTAGTAATCATTTTGTACATTATTTTGATTACATGTACAGTTCAGCTTTGCCCTTAGGACGGTGTGTGCATGTAAATGAGTTTCAATAAATGAATAAAGTTACATATATTGAGCCAAAAATAATAGTTGAAACACTTTATGTAGACAGCTTGGATGGCTAAATTTTAGAATGACCAATAATTTTAATACTGTATAAAATATGCACAAATATTAAAGAGCACAATTTTCTTTATATTTACTGCATTGGAAACGAATGTAAACATAGAAGAGGTGACTGAATTGGCTGAGTACCTCCTCAGCTTATCAGCTGATGTTCAAAACAAAACGTGATTTTCGTAAGGATTTCGTTAATCGAATTTTTTTTCGTTAACCAAATTGAAGATTCTTATGGAAGGTAATTCGTAAACCGAGGCGTTCGTTTACCGAGGGACCACTGTATTTTTCTCTTTTCCTCTTGTCACTATAATCAAGATTAATAATTTTTCCAGTTGTACGTCAGGGGACTCAAGCAGCAATTGGCCTCTCCAGTGCTGATATAGCACTACGCATCAAGAGGGAACAAGTTAAACGTCGAATGTTACAGAACTTGAATATATTTGTCTCTACCACTCGTCTGTGCATAAACAATTTGCCACAGAGAATTGGTGACAAGCAGTTGTTTACAATATTCATCAAACATTCACCACAAGGAGCTAAACTTACTGAGGTTAGGTATTTAAGTACAGTATACTGTATATATACAATAAATAAAGGGTTGATTCTAAAATTGCATTTGAAGATTGGGTCTAGATGGAGCAACTAAGCATCCCCATCTACCCTTTTGGGGATTTGAATTGTGATGCAATTAGAATTTTTCCTGATGTACCACTTTTATTGTTGGTCTCAAAGCAGTGAACAGATTGTGTATTTATGCCCAGTAACAAAACTGTAAAGCCCTATATTTTTAAGGTGGCATTTTACCACCAGGTATTAACATTAATTTTACCAAAGTTTTTTTTTTTAACCCAGTCACATGCTAGGGCCCAGGGTCTTGGTGTTTTAAACCATAGACTTGTCAGTTGTACTGTATAGAGTTGCTTGATCCAGACTTTGACATGAAATGGGATTTGAAGGTCAGTCCACCATTTTCTTTCTTTATTGTTTAAAATTTCCTGAAAGCTAAAAGCCAAACCAAAAGGTCTTACGGTAAGGGAATTTTACCTGCCCATCACTGGAATAACTAGACTAGGTCTTGTCCTCAGGCAATAATCTCTTGTGTATACAATTGACAGTGATCATAGAGGAGACTGACATGTAAGTAATATATATTGTATCTTTTGTAGGCCCGAATCATGCGAGACTTTAAAGATGTGGATGAAAATGGTAAACCCAAAAGTCGAGGATATGGCTTTGTCACCTTCACTGAACACGAACATGCATTGGCTGCTCTCAGAAAAATCAACAACAATCCTGATATATTCACAAATGATCAAGTAAGTAATGTTTACTTTGTATTGATTGTGTCTCACTACCAGATCAAGAAAATGAATTTTTTTGAAGACTGAGATTTCATTGAACACACACACCCACACCCACCCACTTTTTTTTTTACGTGATTTTCAGCCTCCCCCATTAGCCACACCTTCGCCACCATTTTATTTCCTTAAAATTAACTATCCTAATACATAAGTAGCTACCCTAGCTGTTTTGAGTTAGTTGAGCCGCATATCTATGCGGCATTCGGTGACTGTTGCCTCAAAGTCGATATCTGCGACTGTTGTCGGCTTTGGGGCTGATGCTCTCTTTCCTCTGAGGCAAAGCAATGCAGACCTAAGCAGAGAGAAGGACAGTCGACATCTCAACCTGGCTGTAACATAACTTCTGGGCTGCTGCTTCCGTTCAGGTAACACCTCCGCGAGTCTGGCATAGAAGCGTCTTGCGCTTGGTCCCATCCCACCAGAGGTTATGAACACCAGAGGAGTGAAGCTGCCTTGATCAACGTTCTGAATTCTCTCCTCATATGCCCTTATCTTGTCGTTCTCGTTCCTCCTGTGTGCAGCATTGAGAGCTAGGTTGCAGTGACATGCAGCCATGGGATAAAAAATCCTCATGTCAAAAAAGGCTCACTGTCCCCGCGTCCAGAATCCTCGACCACTGACGTCCACACGGGCTTCATTGGATGTGTTTGAAGTCCTGTGACGGAGGTTCTCACCGTCCAATGGAAGGAGGGGCGGTTCCACCATGACGTCGTAGCAGATTTCCTTCAGAAGATTTGCTGTTAGATCCCTTACTTCGTCACTCCTCATGCATACGAAGCCCCCTTTCTTGCACACCATGGCGTGATCGATGTCATAGGAAGAGTCACACACGCATTGGGAGGGCAAACCTATGGGCCTACCGCACCTGAGAGCAATGGCATCTGTGAATTCTTGTTTATTAAGGACGAAGCCTTTTGCCCTTATCGGTAATGTTGTTTACCAGTTTGAGGCGCCCACCTCCTGCATTATAGCTACTTTTCTTTTCACGTTATCTGGCACTTGTTGCAGCAGTTGTTGCAGTTTATCACTTTGGGTGTGCTGCTTCTCTGTCGTAATGGACTGTTTAATCTTGTTTAATTCGTTGGTATCCACCTGACTTGTTGCACACTACTACTACTACTACTTTGCTGTCACTCGGAATCAAGTATGACGATCATCCAGCTATGATACAATATGAGTTATTAGGGATGTCACCTTGGTAAGTGAGTTTTGAGGTGACTGAAGAGGCCGATCCGGGACCCGCAGGGTCGTCGACATTTGTTGCACATGTGGAGGGCTCCAACTACTGTGGGATAGGCAGTGGCAGCATCTTTCCGCCGTTGGTGCTTGTCTGCCTCAGTTTGCAGTCGGGCTAACCCGAAAGTATTGACACCTTCTTGCGTGGTGCTCCTCCAAGCGTTATGATGTGGAGTAATCATCTCCCAGGTGAGGGGGTCGATTTGGCACCTTTTCAGGTTTGTCTTCTGACTGTCCTTATACCTTTTTAATTGCTCGCCGTTACGTTATGTTAGGTGACTGTAAAGTAGCTGCTTTGGCAGTCTGCTGTCATCCGTGTGGGTAACATGGCCAGTCCAACATAGTCGTTCGTGGATAATGGTAACCTCGATGCTCCTACAGTTGGTGTCAGCAAGAATACTGGCATTTGTTTTCTTGTGTTCCCAGTGAACTCGTAGGATGGAACATAGACTACGTTGGTGAAAGTTTTCAATTGCATTGAGGTGCCTCCTGTATGTGACCCATGCCTCACTGCCCTATAGTAGGGTAGGTAGGACCACTGCTCGATATACATGCAGCTTTGTGGATAATTTCAGCTCCCTACATCTGAAGACACGGGTACGGAGTCCGTCCAAGGCTTGAGATGCACATTGATCCGATGCTGAATCACTTCATTGATGTCTGCGGTGGTGGACAGGTGGGAGCCGAGATACCGAAAGTGGGCAACATTAGAGAGGGTAGTACCATGAAGCTGGATGGATGTTGGAGGTGTGTCTGAACCAGGGGCAGGTTGAAAGAGAATCTGAGTCTTACGTACAGTCTCGTTCAAGATTCTTCGAACACTGTTGGAGACAGCTGGCAACTCAAGGCCATTTGTTTACTATACTAAGTAGCAAAAATTATGAATGAATGTAAAAGTGATCGGTGATTGGTTACTTAGTTCCCCGTTGCTTAATTAATGGTTGGGCTTTGTCTTTTCGTAATATATTATACCTTTCTGCCTGAATATACTGTTAATTTGATTTTAAAATGGATAGAGCAATGGGCCAACCTATATGAATTTATGTTTAGACAATTAAACATTAGAAAAAATCGGTAAGTATGTTAAAGAACATCATGCATCGGGCACAGCTGTGTGCAGGCTGTTTATGAGGTTGCCTGTTTATCATTAATTTATACTAATGTTATTTTCAAACGTTTAATCTATTTTGGGTAATTAATCCAGTCGTATGCAACTGATTCTAAACAAACTTCTTTCTAAAGACGCTGATTTCATGCAACACAAACTACTGTTTTAATTCGCTGTGGAATTGAGCAGAATCATCGGTTCACTGCTACCTGTAGTAAGAGTGTGTGTGTGTGTGTGTGACATTGATCAATTGATGGTGTGAACTAGTGCGGTATCATATGCCGAATACTTTTACAGGCCTTTATCTAGCAATATCACTGTCATTCCAAGACTCTGAATATTGTAAACAGCAAATGGTATTTCTTTTGTTGAGTGGCTAGTTGCCCCCCCCACCCCCAAAAAATACAGTGAACCCTCACTTTACGCAGTCAATTGAACCCACGGCAGCCCGCTTAAAGTGAGAAACGCGTAACGTGAACAACATAACATATGGGATTAATTGAAATAGAGACCGGGCCGACCCCCAAACTCTACTTTTTCCGACACAATACCTATGTTCTAGTAAAAATAACATCTTAATTTTATGATGGTACACGCACACAATTAATATTTAAGAGAAATAGAGAAATACAGTCGCCAAGTTAATGTCCATTCAAATAATGGACTCAACTCCCTCCCCCTCTTCTCACACTCGCTAGCTCTTCCCTCTCTGAGAAATGATTGGGGGAACCACTAGATTTTAAGGTATAGTAGTAAATAATGCCTCAAACTAAAGTTAGGATAATATAATTGACATTGCTGGATTCCTTGTAAGACCAGGAATATTTTGAATATAAATGTCATATATTTTGCACAAAAGATAACATATTTACTCAGAGTAAACATTAGATCTAAAATTTGTATGTCTAATGCAAAATCTATGATGTTTATGTATATTCAAAATGATCATCAAATTGTAAGAATTCCAGCAATGTAAATTATATTCTGGCCGGGTAATTTGTATGAATTTTATGAGCTAAATAACAAAATTATACTTCACCCACGTATATGAGTAGATGCACCGCGTAAAGTGGGAATTCCGGTTCTGGCAGGGTACCGCGTAAATGTAGAAACGCGTAAAGTGAAACCGCGTAAAGTGAAACCGCGTAAAGCGAGGGTTCACTTTACAAGATCCTTGTTTCTGACTTGTGTAGATTACGTCACCTTTAGTCTGGTGTCTTTTAAAAAATATATACAGTGGGGTATGCTATAACGAACTTAATTGGTTCCAGAACCTCGTTCGTTATAGCATTCGTTCGTTATAGGATTAATCCGTTCCAGGCCCCCAAATACAGCCACTTAACACTGAAAAAATTCTGTGGAAAATGTAAAAAATACGGTACTTTATCTTACCTTAGTGTTATTCAGCATGCAGGTACCCCTAAACACTGGCACATCACTATCACTTCCACTGGGAGTCTTGGCTTTAAGGTCCTCAAACAATTGTTTAGCCTTCTCACAAATTATAGCTTCACTAATGTTACCACCTGCCATTTCTTTCTCCTTTATCCACACTAAGAGTAAATTTTCCATCTCTTCAATCACATTACACCTTGCTTTGCTAAGTCTAAAGATTCCCTTAGCCACTTGCACAGTTTTAACTCCTCTTTATTCTTCAAAATCGTACATATAGTCGATTTAGCCATCCCATATTCATCACTAAGTTTTGCAATGCTTCTTCCATTCTCACGTTTCTTTATAATTTCTTTCTTAGTTTCAAGGGTTATTAGCTTTCTCACTCGCTTTGGACGATTCATTGTTACAATTGTATACTTGTACAACAAAATAGTTATACAAATAACGCGAATTTCCACATTAAAAGATGAAATTTCAACAATAACAGTGGTGCACTGGCTACACAATGAGACAAAGATGGCGCCTGACGCTCTTATTGTGGGTCGCGGTACAACAATATTCATGCGCCAGGCGAAATAGTCCCGTATTCATCCGCGTTCGTTGTAGGAGTTGCGTTCGTTATAGCATTCTCAATTTTATAGGTAAAACCGTTCGTTATCGGAATATTTGTAGTAGGATCCGTTCGTTATAGCATATCCCACTGTATATTCTATTTTTTTCAAATATGTGTATGATGTATTATAAATTTTGTATCTTATTTATTTATTTATCCATTCAACTATTTTTTTTTTATAAAATGCCTAATAAAATATAAATATAAAGCTAACGTTATGGGCGTGAAGGTGGGGGAGACAGAGGTGTTGTCAGTGCTGACTACCCTTCCACTCCCTCAATTGTAGAAGGACCCTGCCAACATGGAATACCACACGCAGAAAATCACTGAATGTGGAAGAATAATCGGCACGAAGGAGGCTGGGTTTTCACCTACTGAAATTGCCCGAGAATTGGGGTTTTGTTGGTCAACTGTATATTATTGGATTAGAACATTTCTAATAAAGGATCTTTCCCCGCAATCGGGCGAAGACTTCACGAAGGAGGCATTCACCATGGAATTCCCGCCACCAAGGAGAAGTAAAATGAGCGACATCGCGAGGGCAGGTTGTAGTTTGCTCGACGGTATGCTGAAGAAGGCCTAGATTTCTGGGGAAGAGTAATA